CCCGCCGACATGCTCAGGCGTTCTGGTGTGGAATCAGGGCGGGTTCGTGGGGGGAGAGTCCAGTCGCGCAGCCGGTCAGCCACCTGGGGGCGTGCCGCCGCACCGTCGCCACGAGCGCCCGCAGGTCTGCCACTCCCCCCAGCAGGTTGCTGACGTGAGTCACCGCCACAACCCGCGTGCGCTCGGACAGCAGCGCCGCCAGCCGGCCCGGCCGGGAGGCGCAGGGGAAGGACACCCAGAGGCGCCCGCCGGCGGCGGCGGCGGCGGCGTCAGACGAGGCGCTGGTGGCGTTATCGGCGGCCGAGCCGCCGCCGCCGCCGCTGCCGCCGCTGGAGAAAGAGGGGGTCACGTCGGTGCGCCACCAACGCAGCGTGGCGCCAGAGGACTCTGCAGGTGTAAAGGCGGCATAGTGATTGCCGGTGAAACACACGCAGGCATACACCACACATGCGGAAGCTGCTCCTATCTGCCCCAGCTGGAAACAACAACCCAACTGACGACGCATGGCCTTGCATATTCCTTCAGTCGATAATTTCTCCGTCCGTGTGCGGCTCGTGCAGTGGCGGGCCCCCGCGCCGTGGCGCCGCCGCACCTGCGCAGCGCACCCATGGCCCTGCGTTGGCCTCGTGGCACGACTCCTGCACCACGACCTCGTCCCCCGGCCCCAGCAGGCGCGAGTAGCAGCCGCCGAGGGCCGCCAGCAGCTGGGAGCTGCTGGGCCCGAGCGCGACGTGGCCCGAGCCGGGCGGCGCGCCCATGAGCGCGGCCACTGCATCATGAGCCGCGTCCACTGTGGAGGTGGACCTGCGCGGTTTTTTGGGGCCAGAGCGGCCACACGTGCTAGTCTGCTCGACGCTGGTTGGTGGAGCGTCTCGCTGCTGGGACAAGGCAAAGGGGGCAATCAGATGCAGTGAATCCGACCGACGCTGATGTGGCTCACCCCCGGGCTGCTTTGGGGAGGCCGGCGGGGCTGTTGACTGCCCGCGGCCAGGCCAGCGCACGCGGCAGCTTCCAACCTGTTTGAAACGTCATAGCCGGCGCCCAGCTGAGCGCAGTCGTGCAGCAGATGGTCGCGCACCGCGTCGGCCACGCAACGCGGCACCTGCGCGGCGGCGCGGCGGGGGTGTCCTGTTTGACCACGGCCGCCTGGCCGGGAGGTGGTCGCAATGCGGCCGAGCCGGCCGTGTGCGCACTTGCGAATCTCCCTCCCTTGAAGCAGGATCCCTGGAGGGGTGTAGCCACACAAGTGGCGTGAGGTGAAGATTTATTGGGCTCACCTGACTGCCGCCTGCGTTCTCCATGAATGCAAGCCGCGGCGCCGAGAAGTACGCAAACGCGCCGCGCGCATCGTGGCGCACCGCCTCCAGCTCAGTCGTGCAGCCATCAATGCTTGACATGTCGGCCGCCATGGTTTTTAAGGAGCTATCACAAACTTTCGCGCTTCTAACAACGTCGTGATATGGAACGGCAACGATCAGACCAGATCTTGGGCCACCAGCCCGTTGGATGAGAAATGATGTACATGTATCAGGCAAGAAATCAGATTTATTGAAGTCTGTGACAGCAAACGGGCTTCACATGACTGACCGCTGACCTGCAGTGCGGATTCGCAGCTGACTGTCCTTCATCCACATGGGTGGCTCTCCAGGCTGCAAGGCATCGACACAGCGGGCCAGATGCGGGTTCGAGGAGGCTTTGTCCGAAAAACACGTGCAACTGGTGGTGGGCTTGTACATGGAATGTTCCGCAGGTCAACTTTTCTTGACCACCTAGGCTGAGGCCAAGTGGCCAGCCTATGCAGGAGCGTGCGCTGCAAGCGCACGCCACAGCCTCCTCTACGGGAGTGGGGTGACAAACAGTCCTTACAACAATGGCCACACCAGGACCTGCATGCTAGACAGGGTCCGTTGCTGTGTCGCGCGCCCACCGCCCACTGCAGTACAGGCAGCGCGGTGCGAAATGCGCGATTTGGCACCCAGTAAGATTGTTGTAGCTGCCTTCCTGTTGGTGAGCTCCACCTTATCTACTCGCATTGCGGAAACTAAAAGCAAGTCAGTGTGCCCTGCATGCTACAGTAGAAGGCACAGCGGTCTGTGCAGCACATCCTGGATGCCACCTGGCCCACAGTTGCCGCAGCAATACCCCACCCGGTCAACCCAGCGCTTCGGGCCAATCTTCTAAACCCAGCGCCTCGTCTGCTGATACATGTACACCTGCCGACGAGGCAAAGCAGCTGCGCTTGATGTGCACCAATCAGCCCAAACCATCTCAACCTCTTGCCTCGATTGAAGTGAGGTGAAGTTCAAATGAAGCCGCACGTTGCGTTGCGATGCCACCGCCAGAAGTCACAGCCACGCCTGAGCCTGCACCTCCCACGTCCGGGCCATCTGCATAACGCAACACGCTGCACCATCTTGCCCCTTCACGGCCGCCCGCACGCGGCCCCTTGTCCGCTTTTTGGCCGCCTGCCCCTGTACTCGACTTCTCACCCGCCGTTTCCCCGCGCTGCGGCGCCGATATACAAGTCAAGCGCCTGCATTGAACAGGCGCAGATTGGCCGCCCAGGCTTGCCACCCCCCGCGGTGGGCAGGGGGCAGCGGCAAAGAGCCTGGGCGGTTGCCATGACATCCGCACGCGCTGCGCCCTCGGTCGGCAAATTCTCCATCGGGGCGGGGGCGGCAGAGATCGCATCCCCCAGGTCGGCACTGGGCTCTCTTAGGGGGGCACGTTGGCGGCAGAACCGCGCCGTCCGACGCAGGTCGGCATCGGCTCCATTAGCACGGGCGGCGCGGCGATGCAAAAGGGGTGCAGCAGCGACGCCGCGCATGGCGCCCCTGTGGAGCACACAGGGCTCCGGTGGGGCGCGACGCGGCGCACGCTCCAGCCCACTCAAGGTCCCGGTCGGCATAGGCTCCATTGGGACGCGAGAGGGGGCTGGGCACGGGGCAGGCTAGGCAGGCAAGGCTGACCGAGAGTGCTGTGAGAGGGGCGACAAGGCATGCATGCAGTGCAGGCAAAACAACAAGTAAATAATATATTTATGATAGCCAAGCAAACGGCGTGCGCTTTAATACAGCGCAGGACTTGGGAGAATCCGAACAAACGCCAAAAAACGCGCGCAGAAACGTGCAAGCTGACTGACCACGGAGGGCGTCTAGCATGCCTTGATGCACTCATGGGACACACATTAACTCGTGTGACCCGGCCGCAGGCCAGGGACTGGGCAGATTCGCGTGTTCTGACTCCGCTCGCCTGTGCCACTGCGCGAGCTGCACCGCATCAAAACCTGGCAAACGGTCGGCGGCTCCGCCAGCCTCTGGAAGCAGGTGCACTTCCGACACAGGTGTCAGCATTCAGTGGCGCCGGCGCGCCCTTGACAGACGGAACCAGGTGGTATGAGACGCTTGCAGGGGAGCATGGAACTACAGGCGTGGGCAGCTACGGTATGCCGGGTGAACGCCAATGCATGCAGAAGCCGGGCCTCCCAACACTGAGGATCTTCGCAGCCCTTGTGAGACCCCTTCTGTAACTTGACACAATAGCAGGCACCGGCGTACCGTACAGACCACTGCAGTGCAGTCAGTACGGTGTGCTGAGATACAGCTGCTTGCCTCGAGCAGCTGTGCATGCCTGCCTGCAAGCACCAACAGGACTGATGAAGTGGGCAGCTGCGCCTGGGCTGTGTCCACCGCAAAGATGCATAATTTCGCTGGGGCTTTGAGGCTACCAGTGTAAGCGTCACCCTGTTTGCACAACATATGCATTGCGAACACCGTTCCGTTGCCGCCTACTTTGCCTTGCCTGAAAGTCCAATACCAGCCACCTCATCACCCCAGCAAAAGCCTTACAAGGGATAAATGTGAGGCCATAGCAATCTGTTACGGCCTTGTGAGGGGGGCTTGTGAATGCTTTCCGAGGCCTCTCAACCGCACCGTGCTGTTGAGGGTGACCTACGTGGTGTGTGCCGGCAGGCCACGCCGCAACAAGTCAACTGCATCCGTTCGTGCGTCCAAGTGTGATGCACCTGGCGTAGATGGCGTGTGGCCGCCATGAACATGCTACAGGCGTTCTAGGCAACCTTGTCGTTGCAGTATAGAAAGAGCGTTGATTGTGGCCACCGGACGAGCGTTGCTGCAGTATCGATGACGAAACGTAAGTCATGGCCACAGGAGACTTGAACGCTGCAGAAAGGAGGGTCTGGACAAGCAGCGCCACGCATGCGGCCAGCAAGGGGCCCAGGCGACATGGGGGCGTGCACGTGCACGCATGCCGGTCCACCCTATGGATGGCAGAAGTGGGGATCCACTGAGTGCTGCCGCATGCGTGCTGTCACTGGACCCAACATGGCAGGTCAGTGGCCCTCAAGCGGTTAACCAGGCAGTGACGCGGTAGTAGCCAACCAGGCAAAAAGAAGGAAGACAGCAGACGCGGATGCGCGTGTGGTGGCCCCGACCGACCCAAATGCGAGGTGCCCAGTGGGGGATACGCTGATGTGAGCGCACCCGGCCCCTTGTCACACGCTGCCCTATTGAGCCAGTGGCGCCGGCGGCTGCTGGCCACGCGAATTCTGCGGCTGCAGCTGAAGCGACTGCGCCTGCTGCAGCGCCGGCGGCTGCTGCTGCGGGAGGTCGCGCCGCTGCCTGCCCAGCTGCCACAGCCGCTGCTGCTGCGCCTGCAGCTGCAGGTCAGGCGCCCGTGCCGCCGCGCCGACGCCGCCGCCGGCCCCGCCTTGCCCGTAGGCGCCCTGCTGCTGGGCGTGCGGCGGGTCCATGCTGCCGCTCCCCGTGCCTGGGAGGAGGCCCCAGTTTGCGCCCGCGGCCATGATGGCGGCCGCTTCGGGCCCGTCCAGCTGGCGGCGCCGTTCGGCCTGACCCGGGTTTGCGGATGAGATGACGAGCTCGAGAGCCTCAGCCTCAGACATGCCGGCGGCGCGCAGCACTGCGTGTGCACATGGCGCAGACGCAGGGCGGTGGGGGGAGGGTGCGATGAGGGTTGGGTGGGGAGCGTGGCCACAGGCTGATGCTCGCTATGCCCCAGGGGATATGATGGATTGGCTGGCTCAAGTCCAGGGACGCACGCGCCACAGCGCAGCACGTCGGCCTCCCGCACCAAACGGCGGGCGGGCGCCTGCAGCCCTGAGCCCCTGGCGCGGCGCGCAATACGCGGCGCGTGGCATGCAATACGGCTTGCACGGGCCCCCACCTGACTCCTTGCTGCGGTTCCCAGGACGAAAGCGTGTGGGCGGCAGCAGGGGCACCGTGGGAGTGGAGTGAGCAAATGCGGTACGACAGGCCGACGCTGGCGTTCGCTGCATGCCGAGCTACACACCGCATGCCGTGGTGCTGCATAACATGCGCGCACACACATGCTGACCAAGCAGAAGGGCGCGCGCTGCCCTGAAGGGGCGCGGCGGCCCGTGGCCGGCCGCGCCTGCCATCCATGCATCCACCACCAGCCACGCCGCAGACTCACCAGATCGGGCAGTGGATGTCGCGGGCCAGCCAGGCATCGATACAGTCAGCGCAGAAGCTGTGCATGCAGGGCAGCAGCTTCACGCGCGTCCCCTCCTGAAAATCCTCGCAGCAGATCACGCAGACCTGCCCGTGGGCGCTGCCGTTTGAATTGCCGCCGCCGACAGATGGCGGCGGCGCGCCGCCCGCCGCCTTGCCTGCGCCGCCGTCGCCGCCCTCGCCGCCAGGGGCGTGCGCCCGAGGCAGCGCATACTGGTAGGTGGGTAGGTTTGCGACGACAGACTGCGGCGTGGGAAGCTTCCCGTTTGGGAGCAGCTGCCGCGCGCGCGCGAGGCCCGCCGCGGCCGCGGCCGCGGGCGGCGCGTCGCTGTAGGCGGCGCCGGCAGGGACGCCGACCAAGATGACGTGGCGCCCTGAGGGGTGGTCCGATGCGATGACGCCCAGCCGGTGGCCGGGCGGCAGCGCCTGCTGCAGGCTCGACAGGTCGTGCATGGGGCCGGCGCGGACGACGACGCCGCCGCCGCCGGCGCGCGCGGCGGATATTGCGGCCGCCTCCAGTAGCCGCCGCTGGCGGTTCCGGCGGCGTGAGTGGTAGCAGAGCGCGATCAGGGAGACGATCGCTGTCAATACGACAAACAGGATGACCACGCCCCACATGCCGCCGCCGTCGAAGGCGCCGCCGCGGCGGGGCAGGCCTTGGGTGGCCGAAGAGGGATCCGTGGCTGCTGCTGCCGCGGCCGCTGCTGCTGCTGCTGCTGCTGCTGCTGCTGCTGCTGCTGCTGCTGCTGTTGCTGCTGTTTCTGCTGCAGCAGCTGCTGCTGCGACGAGTGCCGGTGATGATGCCCGACTCAACTGTGGGGCTGTAGCCGCGTTGCTGTGTCAACGTGGTATTGAGGGAATTGGGGGTGCCAAAATGGGGGAGAGAATAACGAGTGCATGCGCGTGGCCGCGATGCCAGGCATGTGTGCCTGGCAAGGACCCTTCCCTGAGGCTTCGAGGCTTGTGACGCCATTGCGCAGCGCGCCTAGCTATGCATGCGCCTCCGTACTTTGCCAGTCAACCGCATCCTCGCGGCAGGTCCCATACAGGCGCGTTGGGACCCCGCATGCAGCGGCTGCCTCGCAGGGCGGTGCGGGTCGGCGCACGCTACCCCCAGTGTCATCTTGCGCACCTCGCAAGCGGTGCTCCTCAAACCAACGCGAATCACCACCAGAGTTCTGCGCTCGCGCGGGACGCGCAGGACATTCAAGGTCGATGCCGCGAGGGTGTGGAGTGCAGCTGGTGACGTCGTCCTTGTGTCGATCCAGAGGTTCGGGAACCTGTCAGACCTATTCCACACAAAAACGAATTACAAAGGAGTCATGGCTTGATCGCGCCTTGCTCCGGAAGTCTGTGAATGACGCAAGTTTGTTTGCGGAAGCAGGACGGCTGCAGGAAAGTTGTGATCAAGGCGTTGACCAGAAATAGGTTACCGATGCAATTTGTTGCGACTTGAGGAGATTACCTGTGGCGGGTGGAGGTGTCCAGCTCAACTCAGGTCACCGCACCTCCGACTGGAAGGCCTCCATTCTCACGTAGTGGGGAGGAGCCAGGTGTGAGCAAGTGTGCGCCTTCGACACGAGCCGTGCACGTCTGCTGCGGCAGGGCCGCGCGGCGCCATCGCCTGCGTGCTCGCGCACCGCGCCGAGATGTGCCCGGAGATTGCTCAGATCCGCCGCAACGAAGGGGCGCTCCTAACCCTCCGCCCTGCCGCCAATCGGGAATCTCCTGGTCTCGATGCCGCTTATTACCTGGTCTCCCCAACAACAAGGCTTTTTCCGCACGCCCCGCTGCCGCGGCTCCCCAGGGAAGGCAGGCGGGCATGGCATCGTCCTCCGTGGCGCTGCAAGCGCCCGCAACCGGATGCGGCACGGCGGCGCACGCACGGCACGCGCCGTGCCTGAGGCCGCGGCCGGCCCACGCGCAGCCCGCGGCGAGCTGCAGCGGCAGCACGCCGGCCGCGGCCGCTCCCGTGCAGCCGCAGCGGCGGGGCTGGGGGCAGCGGCGGGCGCCGGCCCCGGTGCGAGCGGCGGCGGCGGGGCAGCAGGAGGCGCTGTGGGAAAATCAAGTGCGGGACGGGCGCGTGAAAAGCGTGGACGCGCGGGGCGCAGGTGAGATCGCACCCGGGACTGAGGCTGCTTCGCGCATTGTGGCCGAAAGCAGCTGCCACAATCAAGGGGAGGCACGGCTAGCGGCCGCGCACGCGGCGATCTTCGCCTGTCCCGTGGCACGTTCATCAGTCACATACGGCGCGGCCCGGAGCGGCCCTCATTGCTGCTTCGCTGCCGCCGCCACTGCACGGCCGCCCCCGCAAAGGCTGGCAGCACTTGAACAAAACTGCCCGCTCTGCAACAAGCCCCCCCCCCCCGCCCC